AAATGATATAATTTAATGATGGTTTCCTATAATATTGCAATCATTTATTTCCACTTTTTTCCAAAAAAAAAAATTAAGTTTATTTTTATTAATATAAATAAAAAATGAATAAATTCTTTTTTAACTAAATCATTTGATTTCTTTCATATGTCAACAAAACCTATTTTTATTCCACACTTTTATTGTAAATTTATTAACAAATATCTAATTTGAGTTTTATTACAAATTAATGTTATGCATCACATAATAATATGATATACGATAATGGATTTTTATTTATTGATTTTTTTATTCAACGACTATTTTATTCATATCTAAAACACGATCTTGTATTCATATATGATTATAATTGCTTTTGTTTAATCTAATACATTTTGATTGAAGCATATTCATAAAATTGTAATCACAAATGAATAAAACATATTTTCGCTCATTGAGACGAAAATAATGATATCGTTGCCCTTGTTTTTTTTTTCACAAATGAATAAAGTTATAATCGTTGATAAATAAGTTCGTATTTTTTATGGATACATTGTAATTGTAAATGAAAAGAACACAAGTTAGAGATAATCAAATTAATTGTAGTTGTAATCATAATTGAATATAATGTATTCGTAATCATAAATAAATACATTTGTAATCGTACGTGAATAAATTAGTGTGCAAGGATAAAAAATTTCAATATAATTATAATCATAAATGGATGTGTTGTGGATGCTTCTTATGTATAGTTGTCCGTATTAAATGATAAAATCATTAATCAAATATATATTTGATCATAAAAATAATAAAGCAGAATTATAGTAAAAGATTTGAACATTGTTCATACCTACACAATTAACCAAATAACCCAAACCAATTATACCCAAACATTGTATGGTTCGGTTTGGTTATTCGTTTTCGTTTTCTCTCACACCTTAATAACAGCCAGCTTTTTCGATTCAAAACAAGTGCAAAATTTTAATTATAAAAATAGAAATCATAAATTTCAAATATGATTGTTCTAGCAACTCAATTTCAGAATAAACTAATAGAAAAATAAAACGAACTAGCCTTGATTTGATGCGATGAAATCAGGATCGAATCGTCTTGTTCTAGTTGCTTATATTTGTATGTCTCTGATTTTATGCGATGGTGCTTGAAGGAGATGCCAATGATGGCTTGAAGAGAGTTTCGATGGTTGCTTGGAATGCGTTAAACATAACCAGTTTTAATTTTTCTTTGACTATTGCGTTGCAGGATATATTATCATAAAATATAGGAGCAAAATTATGGGGATATAGAGGAAACAAAAGTGATCTCTCTAAATGGTGATTAACGGAAATGAGTTTCAAAATGGTATCTATATTTAAATTTGCTTATTTTAAGGAATTAAATGACAGATATAACCTTCCGTCCATTTACAAGTTACATATTGATACTAAAAGTTTTACGAATGACATAAATGGTCCTTTTTATATCAACCATCAATCTGAAAATTTAAACGGTTGTGATATGTTCTCGCGTTCTCAACCTTTTTAGTGTTCTCGATTTAACTTACCTCTCTCTCTCTCTCTCTATATATATATATATATATATATATATATATATATATATATATATATATATATATATTCCTTATTTAAAATTGGGATTTATTCTTTACTTATTAGAGGGGTGGTACTAAAGATAAAGAAAAAGAAAAAGAATTATACTATGCTTTTGTGTGTTTTACTTGTGTTTATATATATATATATATATATATATTAAACTTCGGAAAAAACTCTCATGTTTCAGGTTATGATTTCGATGTTCATACATACATTTCGATGTCGAAGATTACATTTGCTGCAAAGAAACTGCACTTCTGAAAGTCCCAAAGGGTATCAAGGGAAAATTTCACGAAGGAACTTGAAACCATAGGGACAAAAGATAAAGTGAAAAACAAAATTAAAAAACAAAAGATAAACAATAGTGCATAAGAAAGAAAAAAAGGCCACCTTGTTTCGTGAGTTTGGCACACATATATTCTCTTTCTTGATTATAAATAGGATAGGGAGTCTAACATCAAAATCATAAATAGAGAAATATAATTATCATGGAGACAATTAAAGTACCGGAACACGAGCATCCACTAAAGCTCATTGATTTGCAGCTACAATTACAATATGAAGAAGAGGAAGAAGAGGATGATGATGATGATGATGATGAGGGTGGTCATTCAATTGCGAAAGATAAGTTTCATGGTGTCACATGTTGGAGGTGTGGGGAAGAAATCCATATATACCACAGGTACTACTACAAATGTTCATCATCATGTAATAATTTCTCACTTCACAAATTCTGTGCTGAGCTCCCCTCAAGGTTAGAGCACCCATCACACCCACACCATACTCTTCTTTTGGTACCATATTCATCTTCATATATGTATTATTATCTTAAATGCAAACTTTGTAAGAGAGGTCAAAACCATGGAGAACTATCTTACCAATGTAGTAAATGTGATTTCTCCATTGATCTCCGGTGTGCTGTGGAAGTAGGAAAAAACGTCATCCATCATCCTTGGCACACTCACTTGCTAACATGTGTTATCCCTAAGCCCATTTTATGTGAGTGTAGTGCTTGTGGGAAGGAACATAAAGGAATCTTCTATCAATGTACCACTTGTGCTGGCGGCTTCAATATACACAGTGAATGTGCTTTCTCACCAAAAAAATTGCTAATCCAAGATAGAACATATGGTTATTTTTCTCATACTCACCCACTCACCATTTCATATTCCTTCCCCCAAATAGATCAAAAAGCTAAACATGATCCCAGATGCAGATTATGTGGCGCTGAGTTTTTTGATACAGAGGATCTTTGGATTTACAAATGTGATAAATGTTTGTACTATGTCCATCTCCATTGCACAACATCAAAAAGATGGTGGCCTACTGGTAAATCATTTACAATTGCTTTTCTTTCCTTAGTAATTAAATTATTATGTCAGTACGTAGCTTTATTTGGTATATATTAATTATCTACCTTGTTATTCAATTTCCAATTTATCAGGATCAGGCAAAACCATTCAAAATTACAAAGATGTTGACTATCCTCGTCTTCTTCATCTCCCATTCCCTGATGAAACTTACAGCATACCAAAACATTTTTTTTATAAAGAAACTGGACCTAGAATGCTCACAAGTAATGATGAGGTAAGCCTACAACATATCAGTCATGAGCACCCTCTAATTCTTGTTAATCAAGAGCAAAAGGATGGGAAAACCTCCACCTCAAGCAAGATTAATTCTTGTTGTTTCTTATCAACAAAGTTTCATGACCCAATGAAAAAGACCCAACTGTTATGCAATGGATGTCTCAGACCAATCATGCCTAGCATGCCTTTTTACAAATGCCCTCAACTAATTTGCAACTTTGCTCTTCATGAGTGGTGCACTCGACTCCCCACAAAAATAGAAAACCACCCAGACCACCCCCAACACACACTCCACATCATGTACTCAAATATACCTGGTTGCTTTTTCGATGTGTTCAGTTGTGCTGTTTGTTATCTGCCTTGCAATGGATTTGCATATTGTTGTTTTAAATGTAAATACTATGTTGATGTTTGTTGTGGGTTTATACCTAAACAAATAACGCATAAAGCCCACCCGAATCACCTACTTTCAATAGTTCAAAAAGAAAATAATGCTTATCTTTGTTGTATTTGTAAACGACATTACACTGAAAGTCAAATTTCATTCCATTGCAACACGTGCAATATTTATATACATCCTGAATGTGCTATGTTATTAGCTGAGACAATCAGGCATAAGTATGACAAGCATCCAATGCACCTAAGTTACCTCCCAATTGAGAACCATAAGAGCCAATACTTTTGTGAAATTTGTGAGGAGGATTTGAATCCTCACGCATCTTTCTATCATTGTCAAGATTGTGTTCAGTCCATACATACAACTTGTGCTCCATCAATACTTAAGTGCGAGACAGAGACATATACCATGTATCATGGGGGTATTCATGTTTTTGTGAATATAAAGTTTGGAGGAATTTATAACGATAATGGTCACCCACACCCTCTCTCATTTGCTCAAGGTATTGTGTTGGATGGCCAATGTAATATATGTAGTCAAGGATTTCAATACCAACTGATCTTTAAATGTCACGAGTGTAAGTTTGCAATTCATTACAACTGTTGTAGCATGTAGGTGTCTCAACAAGATATGGAGTTCTTGTAGTATCTTCCATATGTTTAAACCACAATACGATCTGTAATTGTATTTCTCGCTATATTTTCTTTTATTTATTTTTTTTATGTGTAAAATGATACAGTATGAAGTTTAATTTAATGAATGTATGCTAAACTCTTCCGATCTTTTTGTTCCATCTTAACAAGTCAAACACTTATTTATAATGATGAAAGCACTTAACTATTCATAGATAGCATTGTTTTCATTTCAACCAACTTTTTATGACTATTAAGTAGTTAACTATATATTCATATCCTTTATTGTCTTTGTTTCGGTTTCTTATTTTCAAAGTAGATTATATGTATTATTTTATATGCCTTTCAAGAGGAACAATAACAAACAATAACACCTATGTAGTCGTTAAGATTTTGTAATACTTTCGAGTGCTTTTGAATGCAATCTTCAAATTTTTGGATGACTTTTATGGTTGAGGTTGCTTAGTTGATGCGAAACATAAAATCATAATTATCCTTCACAAACACAATGTACACAACATACATAATCTTCATAATATAAAAACTTAACGAGTATCATTTAAATATTATCTTATAACAAACCTAAATTGGGAATTAAAACTTATGTGTACTAATGTAATTATATGAATCAATGTTCACTCAAAAAATAGGATTCAACCGCACTTAACATATTCGTATTGTTTACATATTCAAATCAACATTCTACAATTAGTTAGAAATAGGAAGTAAACTTTGGTAAAATTCAACTATGGATTTACATACGAGAGAAATTGAAATGTGGATTTACAAACGAGAGGAATTGAAATGTTAAGAAAATATCTTCACGAAAAAATAGCATTGAAAATTCATCATAGATCATAGTAAATATAATACCCTTTTCATTGAAATAACTTCTTGAAAATATAACTAATTCTTTTTCCATTTTAAATGTCACTTACCACATACCAGAAAGAAACATTGTGATCACAAAAATTCCCTTCATAATTATATGATTTAATCCATCATTTTGTGATGACATAAACTCCAATGTGAAATGTATAGAGTAGCATAATCAACAAGAACAATGCAACGTCCTAATTTCACAACAATTTTCTTTAATTTTTAAAAGTAATAAAGGAGTCATTTTAATAAAAACCATCATCACAAAAGCATTGTTTCAAAAAACATATCACAAAAATCAGAGTATCATAGTAAAGCGGAATCTCGCACATTCGTCTTCCCAAGATCCTTTGAAGTACCTGAAACATTTAAATCCACAACAATAAACCAAAACTTATACAAGAAATAAACCATACATAATAACAACGAGCCTGTTTCAACCCAACATATCTATTTCAACCCAACATATCTATTTCAACCCAACAAGTATATTTCAACCAAACAAGTATGTTTCAATCCAACAAGTCTATTTCAACCGAACGAGTATTTTTCAACCCAACATGTCTATTTCAACCGAATGAATCACTTAAACATACATGTAGCACGCATGACCCTACCAATCAAGCTAAGTATACAATCACGTCATAGAAACTATGTCATAAGTAATAAAGTGAGAAAAGTCACTGATCGGTATATTTTACATCATGCTTAATATACTATAATTTATGTAAAATAACCGATTTTATCTAAGAANTACATCATGCTTAATATACTATAATTTATGTAAAATAACCGATTTTATCTAAGAATGGTGCTACTTTGACATGTATTTGAATTATGTTTGTAGGTGGTAAATATGATGAAAATGGTACAAAAAGATGCAAAAAAAAGTTCAAGGAATTACACGAAGAGAAATCAAGATTGAAAACAAAAGAATTGAAGATGTTCGGGTTTGGAAAGACGAGAAAACAAAATAAAAAAATGAAAAATTGTATTTTTAAAATAATTATAATTTAATTAAAATGATTTATTTAGGAAATAATAATTTTATTATTTTCTAAATAATTTAATTTAATTAAATGTATTTTTAATAAAA